GATTGCCCCCAGCACCCCCCGGCTTGCCCCCGACACCCCGGAGCATCCTCCAGGTTGTCCCCCAATACCCCGGAGCATCCTCCAGGTTGTCCCCCGACACCTCGGAACACCCTCCAGACGGTCCCCGGACACCCCGCAGTATCTCCCGGGTCGCTCCGAGCATCCCAGAGCTCTTCCCTGAGCATCCCCCGGCTCTTCCCAACCCGCTCCCACCTTCTTCTCTCCGGGAGAGATGCTGAACGTGATGGATTTCTGCCCGGATCCTCTTTACTCCAAGTACGAGGAGAGCTGCGAGGTGAAAGCCGGAGACCTGCAGGGCTTGGGGCAGGCTGAGCAGCAACTTCTGGCCGAGGTCGATTTCCTGGCAGGTAAGACCCGGGGTAGGGGATGGGGGGTGGGAAGCCGGGCAGGGATGAGGGACCTCGCCGGGAATCAGACCCGCAGCCGGGAATCGGGCATCTCCCCGTCCTCCCCAGCCCCTGGCTGTGGGTTCTACACCCCTCCCCCTTCCCTCCAACCCAGGGTGGGGGTCCTGCCGGGGAAGGGAGGTGACACCCCCGGGCTCCCTGTGCCATCCCGGGGACCTCGCAGTGACGCAACATCAGCCTCCCCGCTGCTCCCCCTTCCACCCTCCCTACCCCTTTATCCCGCATCCCTCTCATCGCCTTCCCCCCTCTGTGTCCCCCCCAGGAGAGCTGCTGGGCACCCCGAGGAGCGGCGGGGGGGTGGATTCCCCCCCCCTGGGCAGCCAACCCTCCCCTTCCCTCAGCTACACCGGCAGCTTCTTCATCAAGGCGGTCCCGGAGCATCCCCAGGACCAGGAATCTCTCTTCAACCTGATGTCGGGAATCCTGGGCATCTCCCCTTTCTCCTCCTCCGAGGGCCACCCAAGGCACCAGGATGCTCTTTACCAGTGTCCCGAGGTGGCTCAGAGCCAGCTGGACCTTTATGCCACCTGCCAGCCTGAAATGCAGGGATCCAGCCAAGCCCCTTTCCCGGAGCAGGGATACAGCAGCTTCCCCCCGGCGGAGGGGGCTCAGCCCCTCCAGGCACAACCCACCTTGGGAAACACCTCGCACTGCTTCTTCCAGCCCAAGCTGGACAGCAAGCAGGACATCAAGCTGCCTTCTGGCTCCCCACCTCTGGAGAAGTTTAAAGCCCCCTGCGCCCAGTGGGAGCCCATCACCCAGCATCAGGCCTACTACCATTCTCCCGAAGCCTTCCCAGCTGGTGAGAGCAACCAGGGGCTGTTCCACCCTCTGGGCTCCAAGATGGAGAGTGCCTTGTCCATCAGCTGCCAGTCGGAGCTGGGCAGCCTGGCAGAGGATGGCTTCTGCTTCGGGACCCCC